ACCACACAAGGAAGGTTTGTGAGTTAAACCAAAGTAGACAGGTGTCTGTATAAAACGTTGTGGAGAAAAAAGGCACGGCACACCAACATCAAAACCTCATCCCAACTGTGAAGTATGGTGGAGGGAGCATCATGGTTTGGGGCTGCTTTGCTGCCTCAGGGCCTGGACAGATTGCCATCATCGACGGAAAAATGAATTCTCAAGTTTATCAAGACATTTTGCTGGAGAACTTAAGGCCATCTTTCCACCAATTGAAGCTCAACAGAAGATGGGTGATGCAACAGGACAACGACCCAAAGCACAGAAGTAAATCAACAGAAGAAAATACGCCTTCTGGAATGGCCCAGTCAGAGTCCTGACCTCAACCCAATTGAGATGCTGTGGCATGACCTCAAGAGAGCGATTCACACCAGACATCCCAAGAATATTGCTGAACTGAAACAGTTTTGTAAAAAGGAATGGTCCAAAATTCCTCCTGACCGTTGTGCAGGTCTGATATGCAACTATAGGAAACGTTTGGTTGAGGTTATTGCTGCCAAAGGAGGGTCAACCAGTTATTAAATCCAAGGGTTCACATACTTTTTCCACCCTGCAGTGTGAATGTTTACATGGTGTGTTCAATAAAAACATAAAAACATATAATTGTTTGTGTGGTTTTAGCTTAAGCAGACTGTGTTTGTCTATTGTTGTGACTTAGATGAAGATCAGAACACATTTTATGACCAATTTATGCAGAAATCCAGGTAGTTCCAAAGGGTTCACATACTTTTTCTTGCAACTGTATATGCACTCTACTGAGTGCACTTTATATTAGGTTTTATATATTAATAAAATGCTTAATGTTTAAGTAGTATGACTTATGCTGCATTCAAATGTTGCAGGGGTCAGGTTGAAGACCTTTTAATATACGCCGTTAGAATAGAAGCTTACCTCCACTGAAATATGTATGATGTCTCTCTTCAATGCAGATCCTTCCCTAACAACTACTGGGACAAGTTTGTGAAGAGAAAGGTGAGTTTTTCCAGATTACTTTGATTCTAAATATCAAGGAAATGTCTTGCAGTGAAATGACATGTGTGTTTGTGTGTGTGACATCCAGGTGCTGGATAAATATGGTGACATCTACGGCAGAGAGAGGATTGCTGAGCTGCTCGGTATGGACTTGGCTTCTCTAGACGTCAGTGCCATGACGCATGAGAAAAAGCCCGAACCAGACACCTCAATGTTGAGCTGGTATGTTCAATAGACTCTTTACATAAAACCATTCAGCTGTATTACACATAGTATCTCGGATTAAACAAACCCTTGTATCTGCAGGTTACCAGCTATTGACATCAAGTACCAGATCTGGAAGTTTGGCGTTATTTTCACTGACAATGTGAGTTAAGTAAGCAGTTCATTGTATCATTCGGACTATGAGAGCATCTGATTTTAGTGATTTTGACTTTCCTCTCGTTTTTCAGACCTTCCTCTACCTGGTTTGGTACATGTTGATGTCTCTACTTGGACACTACAACAACTTCTTCTTTGCCACTCTTCTCCTGGACATCGCCATGGGTGTCAAAACCCTGCGCACCATCTTGTCCTCCGTGACTCACAACGGCAAACAGGTCTGCACATTTCCATTATAAAGGAATCCTCAGGAGGTTTCATCTGTTCTCCCATTTGGAACATCTAACGATGTGCCACCCTTTGTTCCTCACAGCTGATGATGACTGTAGGTTTGCTGGCTGTGGTGGTGTACCTCTACACAGTGGTGGCCTTCAACTTCTTCCGCAAGTTCTACAACATGAGCGAGGATGAGGACGAGCCGGACATGAAGTGTGATGACATGATGACTGTGAGTGCAGGGCAGAAATATGACTATAGTACCAGTCTGTGTCGTAGGTAAACTTTACCGTGAGTCTGATTTCTGTCTTGTTTCATAAATGTTGGATTTTCTTCCATCCCCCCGTAGTGTTACCTGTTCCACATGTACGTTGGCGTGCGTGCTGGTGGGGGTATTGGAGATGAAATTGAGGACCCAGCGGGGGATGAGTACGAGCTCTACCGAGTGGTCTTTGACATCACCTTCTTCTTCTTTGTCATCGTCATCCTGCTGGCTATCATCCAGGGTATGGTATATAGTTGTTAGACTAACCAAAAGCATATTGTACTGTATCTTGTTGAGATCATTTAAATGTTCCATGCACCCAACCGTTAATCTGCACTCACATGCTGTCAAAATGACCTTAATTACAGGACCTAAACTAAGAAAAATACCCATGATTCCTGCAAGCTCTTTTATTCATACTTCTGTGTTTATACTTCTTCCAAATTCAAAGTTTAAATTCTACAATTCTACTGCGACCTTGATGAAGTTCGTTTTTGCAGCTTTTTACTTCTGGTGATTGCATTTATGTTCCTAAAATCATAAAAGTGAATCCAATGGAAATTTCAATTGAAAAATCCCATTGCTTTTCGTCAAGGGAACCCTTGCGATGCATCAAATCTGCACCACTCCAAAGGTAACACTTTTTTAAGATGGGTTAATTCTAGCAATCTTTCTGCAGTTTCCCCCAGCTCTACTGTATGTCCTCTTTCAGTGCACTGTCCTGGTTCAATCTCACTGCCCCTGGGATTTTTTACACACGCTACGAAAGAGCTATTTAAACCCTACTGTCCATTCTAGTTTCAAATTCATACACAAAAAGTTTTGCATGTGGGTCAGTTGACGCAGTCAGCATTTGAACAGACAAGATTGTCCTGTGCTTTATTATGTGAAGCTAGCAGGGAACATTTGTTTAGAGATCAGCAAATAGGGTTCTTGAGATGGCACCAACCTTTCTTAAAAAAGGGTATCCTCAAAAAGAAACCATTCAGATCTTCAGATGAATAAGAAATGCTGTGTGTCTTTCAGGTTTGATCATTGATGCCTTTGGAGAGCTGAGAGACCAGCAGGAGCAGGTCAGAGAGGACATGGAGGTAAGATTATTACTTTCCAAGGGATTTAACTAATCTCTTTAACCTTCAACTCTCCATCAGTAATAGGGCAAGAACATGTTTAATCTGCACTGTCCTCTCTGCCTCCAGACAAAGTGTTTCATCTGTGGAATTGGAAGCGACTACTTTGACACGACGCCTCACGGCTTTGAGACACACACTTTAGAAGAGCATAACTTAGCCAACTACATGTAAGTAACCTTTCAGAGTGCAGAAGAAGATGTCGTAATTATAAACATAGTCATTGTTTTGTTTTGAAAATATATACCTTTACTCCTAAAGTTGGTGATAGGCTAGTTGAAACCGTTAGTTTGATATATTTTTTTAATAATAGGCATTCAAAGAGTGTGGAACATGAAGGCGACCTAAATGTTCACTATTAAAACATAGCTTTGTTATATATGCTTAACATGTTTCATCATATGATATAGAATAAGCAGATTATTTCAGGAGAACATTGTGTCCTCATTTATATGTAAGCTTCTGTATGTGTGTGTTTGTGTGACTAACATTGTGGGGACCTTGCTTTTGGGGACAAATGCAGGCCCACATAACATATCATTTAATTTTTAGGCCGCCCGATTTGTATCTTTAAAACTTGGCCTAAGGAAAAATAAGTTTAGTAAAAAAGTATTTAGACAATTTGCCCTGAGGATAATGGCTTCTAAGAACACGCAAATATATTTTCTTCAAAAGCAATCTAATTAGCATTTTTTGCATTATTTCCCTTTTCTTTTTCAGGTTCTTCCTGATGTATCTCATTAACAAAGATGAAACAGAACACACAGGACAGGTCAGTATACATATTTCTTTAAAGATATATATATACCAATGTAAAGAAGGTAAATCAAACAAGACCTTATTGGTTGTTTTTGTCTTGTTAAAATGTTATTTTTATAATATTGTGTTTCAGGAGTCATACGTGTGGAAGCTGTACCAGGAGCGCTGCTGGGACTTCTTCCCTGCTGGGGACTGCTTCAGGAAGCAGTATGAGGATCAGCTGGGATAATGTCCTGCATGGCTAACGTCTGAAGGAGAACGAGAGGAAAGGAGGGGAGGGACATTAAGAGAGAGAAGAAATTTACAAATTTCTCTCCTCCGTTGAAGCTATGCACACTTTCACTGCACTGATGTAACACCTGCAGCAGAATGTCCATGGAATAGATTTGAGAAAAGCTGAAGAGATATAGGAGGCATAAAAAATGACTTTTTTATTTCACAATGAACACACTTCATGGCCTTTTTAGTGTCAAATATACATACTGTAGACGGCCTTGCATAACAATGCATTTATACAAAATGGGCTCTTTCAGTCGCTGCTGCTGTAAACGTTTTAGTGCCTATAGCAATGTCACTGCTTTAGCAATCAGTTTGCTTTAACACATTTATTTTAGATTAGAGTGTATATGTTTGTTTTTGTATGTAGCTGCTGCCATTTGATATTTTTTCTGGTGTTTCAGTGAGAGAAAGTGATTTGAAGGTAAATGATTCAGCAGCTTACAGTCGTATCTCCAAGATCCTGGAGGGAGCAGTGAAAGTGGTAAGCGCTCTCTCGTATCTTCATCCTTCCTCTCTTGAGACTTAGAAACTTGCCTTCAAACGAACAACCATGAATGGGAACTCTCGTTGGACTGACTTGCCAAGATAATAAACTTGAGTGTCATCTGCATACGTGACATATACCTGAGTAACTCAGCTGACAAACCCAGTTTGCACTCTGAAGTCTTACAATGTGTCCCTCGAAGTATGTACTCCACTATCTCTCCTGGTGTGTCTGTGCCATATAAGATAGTGATGATGTATACATAAAGTATATGAGGATGCCAAGGTTATTTATTTATTGTTTATACGCAGATCAAATCTTCTGAAGACGACCGTTTTAGCCCGTCTGTATTTCTGGCCAACAGAATATTTTATGGACAAATATCTTTCAGTGCATTGAAATAACTAATGAATGTATTTAATGTATACACTTTGGCCAAAGTGCCATGTGTACAACTGATAAATGCCAAGGCTGCATAGAGGCCTTATGATGGAAAGACATATTTTACATAAATCATAGATTCATGTATTTATTTTATTTAGGGCTTTAAATAATTTGAAAGATGCTTCCTTGTCAGAGTTTCACATTTCGTGTGTATTGTTTGTGAAAACCACAAAGATGAAGGGACTGTCTCACACTGAAGAAAATGCCTAGTTTGCAGTCAGAAGAGATTTTTTTGCTAGTTAGGTTTTTATGATAGATATTTTTAGGAATCTAGCATATCAGTTGTTTTTCTCAATCAAAGTCTCATCCGATGTGTTGATCTCAGACAGTTCTATCTTACTATGCCTCTTAAAGATCACACACAAACTCTTATTTATTGTCATGACTCACAGGCAGAGCAGTGGTCTGTTTGCAGATGACTCTGAAGTGTGTAATGTTTGCTGTGGTCCACTAGGGGGCCGCTGACAATACAGAGCTGGAGGGAGATTGTTACTGACTGAACCCTGTGTTTCAATACAGAATAAACAGATTATTTTAAGGAGAACTTTGTGTCCTTTATATTATATATATTATATATATGTAAGCTTTTTAGTATTTTATTGTGTGTGTTTATGTGTATATCTGACTGACATTATGGGGAACCTTATTTTTTACGACAAATGAAGGTCCCAATACCGTTATTTATTATATTTTAGGGCAAAGATTTCGATTATGTTAAGATTAGGATTACGCAAGTAATAGGTTGTGTTTAGAGTAAGGGAAGGCAATATGAAATCAAATGAAATATAAATCAATGTAATGTCCTCTAAGATAATGAAAATGTGTGTGTCTGTCAGTATTTAACATTCAAGGACTAAGATCAAAATCGTGTCAACTGAATACTAGATACATTTTTATTTTAGGAAAGTTACATTCAATTTGCATAGTCCAAATAATAATAGACAGATAACACGAGGAAATAGACTTGTTCGATTATCTTGACTGGCCGAGTGCACCTACGCCCCTAATAGTGTGCGATAATTACCCATGGCATATATGGTCTCAATAAATACTATTTTTAAACCGCATGGGCAGAATTGGGTGCTTTTGACTTTACCAATATAATGGTATGCTTTTTGGTGTTTTTTAAAAGCAGAAATTAAAACAGAAAATATCGAAATAAATTCACTGCTTGAAAAAGTCATAAAAAATGGAATGATAGAATGAAGCACCTGTGAGATACAACATAATCATACCTCTTGGGTAAACATTAGTTTATATAATATACTGTACATTTTAGGGATGTCCCGATCACCTTTTTTTGCTCCCGATCCGATTCCAATCATTTGAATTTGACAATTTGCCGATACCGATTTTTCCCGATCCGATCTTTATGCAATGCATTAAGAGAAAAAAAAGCATTCAAGTTGTCCCTTAAGATTATTTTTTTATTTAAATTGGATATTCTATCCAACATGGATATAGCTTCTTTCTTTCACAGCAGCATTGGATCAGTTCAGTTGTGCAGCATTGGATCAAAACAAAATAAAGCTTTCAGTACTCGTTAACTTACTGCTACAATTAGACACTGCGCCCTGCCCACTCTGTTGCCAGATTTGAGA